GGCCTCCCTCACCTTCACGCTTGACTCAGGGGCTTCTCGCTCCTTCTTTCGAGACCGCACCACACTCACGCCGCTTGGCCGGCCGGTTGCAGTCTCCCTGGCTGACCCCTCTGGGGGTCCTGTCCTCTCTCACTTCTCCACTGTCCTCCCGTGTCCGGCTGCCCCCTCGGGCACCTTGTCTGGTCTGTACCTCCCCTCGTTCTCGACGAACTTGGTGAGTGGTGCTGACCTGCAGGATGCGGGGGTTCACCAGTTTACTCCTGCGAGTCAGCGGGTGACCCACTGCTCGGACGCCCGCACAGGCCGACACCTGGCCACGTTTTCGCGTCGGCCGGGGTCGAGTCTCTACACCCTGACCACTGAGTCTCCTCCTGTCCCTGCGTCTGGCCAGGTAGCTGCGTCGGGTCAGGTGTTTGCTGCTGCGTCCAGGTCTGGTCCTGAGTCTGCCCCCTGCTCGTGTCGCCGCCTGTCTCAGGAGACTCTCCTGTGGCACCACCGTCTTGGCCACCCCTCCTTGCCTCGTCTTCGGGGCATGGCTTCCCGTGTCCTTGTCTCTGGTCTTCCCCGGTCTCTCCCTCCCCTTCCTTCGGGACCCGGACCTTCCTGTGTCCCCTGTGTCGAGGGGCGGCTCCGGGCTGCCCCTCACTCCTCCCAGTTTCCCCCGACAGAGGCTCCTCTGCAGACGCTTCACATGGACGTGTGGGGCCCGGCCCGCGTCCGTGGGCAGGGTCACGAGCGCTACTTCCTGCTGGTGGTTGACGACTACTCGCGTTACACCACAGTCTTCCCCTTGCGCAGCAAGGGTGATGTCACTGAGGTGTTGATCGACTGGATCCGCGCAGCTCGTCTCCAGCTCAGGAGGAGCTTCGGCTCGGACTTTCCTGTTCTGCGTCTGCACTCTGACCGAGGTGGAGAGTTCTCCTCTGGCCTTCTGCGAGCCTACTGTCGTGCACGAGGCATCCGCCAGACCTTTACGCTTCCGGACTCTCCACAGCAAAATGGGATTGCTGAGCGCCGCATTGGCATGGTCATGGACGTCGCTCGTACGTCCATGATGCATGCGGCTGCCCCCCATTTTCTGTGGCCGTTTGCGGTTCGGTACGCGGCGCATCAGATCAACCTTCACCCCAGGGTCTCCCGGCCGGAGACCTCCCCAGCTCTGCTGTGGACGGGGAAGGTCGGCGATGCGTCTGCGTTCCGTGTCAGGGGATCTCGGGCGTTTGTCCGCGACTTGTCTGCGGACAAGCTGTCCCCTCGTGCTGCTCCCTGTGTCTTCCTCGGCTTCCCCCCTGACGCCCCAGGGTGGCAGTTCTACCACCCCTCCTCTCGTCGTGTTCTGTCCTCCCAGGACGTCACGTTCGACGAGTCAGTCCCCTTCTACCGCCTCTTCCCCTACCGCACTCCTTCCCTCCCCCCGCCACCGCACTTCCTTGTACCAGGTCCCCCCCCGGTAGACCCCCTTCCCCCTCAGGGTCCTGCCCCTTCAGGTGTGTCCCAGGTAGACGCAGTCGAGCCGGTCGAGGTTGCTGGTGACTCTGGTCCTGCTGCGGGTGCTGAGCCTGGGGGTGCTGACTCTGGGGGTGCTACGCGCGTGGGTGCTGAGCCAGGGGGTGCTGAGCCTGGGGGTGCTGAGTCTGGGGGTGCTGAGCCTGGGGGTACTGCGACTGGGGGTGCTGAGCCTGGGGGTGCGGAGTCTGGGGGTGCTGAGCCTGGGGGTGCTGTGACTGGGGGTGCTGAGCCAGGGGGTGCTGCGTCCGGAGCTGCTGGGCCCTCGGGTCCGCCTGGAGCTGGAGCTGCTGCGGGTGTTGGTGCTGAGACTGCTGCTGTCCTTCCTGGCGGTGGTCCTGCTGCGGGTACTGCTGGTGCTGCTGGAGGTACTGGAGCTGGAGGTGCTGTTGGCGCTGGTGCTGCTGCTGAGGGTGCTGTCCCTGCTGTGTCTGGAGTCGCCGCGCGGCCTCGGCCGTACTTCGTTCCACTCCTACAGCAGGTTCTTGGTCTTTCTCCTCCTGCAGCGTGTCCACAGCCTGTTCAGTCACAGTCCCAGTTAGAGCCCGCCTCCCCACTTCCTGCTCCCTCTCCTTACACTGGTCCCACTGGAGGTCTTGCTGAGCGTCGTGAGCCTGCGTCTCGTCCTGCGTCGCCTGTTCGTGCTGCTCGCGCTAGTGGTCGCGGTTCGCGTCAGCGTCCTCCTCCTGTCCCTGGCACGCACCGGATGTCTTTGCGTCCGTCCACTGCTCCTCTGCGTGCCCCTTTGCCTTCTCCTCCTGAGTCCTCCCTTCCTGCACTTACCGACCCAGAGTCCGACTCTCTTCGTGCTGCTAGTCCTACTGTCACACGTCTCCTTGCTACTGTCGTCACTGACCCCTCTTTTGAGTCCACTGCTGCGTCTGCTCTTGTTGCTGAGCTCGTCGACTTTGCTGCTAGCTGTCGTCTAGACTACGCTGCCGGTCTTGTTGCTGAGTCTGCGTCTGTCTGTCCTCCGTCCGTCGGGGGTGAGTGTGCTCTTGGCACGGACGTCCTTGAGGACAGGCAGGAGGAGTTCCAGTGTCTGGCTGCTGCTTCACCTCATCTCGCGTCCGTACTACTTGCCCCTGAGGGAGACCCGGATGCACTAGACATCCCGACTCCGCGCTCTTACGCGGAGGCCGTAGAGGGTCCCTACTCCTCTCAGTGGCAGGCAGCTATGGATGCAGAGATGGCGTCCTGGAAGTCCACAGGCACCTACGTTGACGCGGTTCCCCCTCCTGGGGCGAACATCGTCAGTGGCATGTGGATCTTCAGGGTGAAGCGGCCGCCGGGCTCTCCACCTGTCTTCAAGGCGCGGTACGTCGCTCGTGGCTTCAGTCAGCGGCAGGGAGTTGACTACTTTCAGACCTTCTCTCCCACCCCGAAGATGACCACTCTTCGGGTGCTGCTGCACATAGCCGCTCAGCGCGACTACGAGCTCCACTCTCTTGACTTCAGCACTGCTTTCTTGCAAGGTAGCCTGCACGAGGAGATCTGGCTGCGCCGTCCACCTGGCTTCACTGGGACTTTCCCTACTGGCACCCAGTGGAGCCTCCGACGGCCAGTCTACGGTCTCCGCCAGGCACCGCGTGAGTGGCACGACACACTGAGGACTACGCTTGCGGCTCTTGGGTTTGCTCCCTCTACGGCTGACCCGTCGTTGTTTCTGCGCACCGACACTTCTTTGCCGCCGTTCTACATCCTCGTGTACGTCGACGACTTGGTCTTTGCCACAGCTGACACTGCTGGACTCGCCCACGTGAAGTTCGAGCTGCAGAAGAGACACACGTGCACAGACCTGGGTGAACTGCGCAGCTACCTTGGCTTGCAGATCACTCGGGACAGAGCACGCCGCACCATTACCTTGACTCAGTCACACATGGTGCAGCAGGTCCTTCAGCGCTTCGGCTTCACGTACTCCTCGCCTCAGGCCACTCCTCTGTCTACTCGCCACTCGCTCTCAGCTCTGCCTTCGGATGAGTCCGTAGAGTCGAGTGGCCCGTACCCAGAGCTTGTTGGCTGCCTCATGTACCTGATGACCTGCACACGACCTGACCTTGCATACCCTCTTAGCATTCTTGCACGCTATGTTGCTCCTGGGAGACACCGACCAGAGCACATGGCTGCAGCGAAGAGGGTGTTGCGCTACTTGTGCAGTACGTCGGGCATGGGGCTAGTGCTTGGAGGGCGGAGTCCAGTGGTCCTCACTGGGCACGCGGACGCTTCTTGGGCTGACGACCAGGCTACGCAGCGGTCGTCGCAGGGTTACACCTTCAGTCTTGGTTCCGGCTCTGTCTCGTGGCGGGCTACTCGCTCGTCCTCTGTTCTCGGCTCCAGTTGTGAGGCTGAGATCTACGCCGGGGCCATGGCTGCACAGGAGCTTCGCTGGCTCACCTACCTGCTGACTGACCTTGGAGAGCCGCCTCGTTCTCCTCCAGTGCTGTACGTAGATAACAAGGCCATGCTGGCCTTGTGTCGAGAGCAGCGCTTGGAGCACAGAACGAAGCACATTGCTCTCCGTTACTTTCTTGCTCGTGAGCTGCAGCAGCGTGGTCAGTTGCGACTTGCGTACGTGGCCTCTGAGGCCAACACTGCTGATGTGTTCACCAAGGCACTTGCGCCTTGTGATCATCAGCGCTTCTGCACTCAGCTGGGTCTTGTACCTGTCTTGCCTCACTTGCTCTCCTCTTGACCTTGCTTGTACTGTCACATATATATACCTGCTCTTGCTTGTCTAGCTCTATATATATATGTGCACTCCTGCATGTGAACTGGCCTTGTGGCCTTGTCGTTGTGCTCGGACTGTGTGGTGACTTTGTGATCCACCCTGAGCTTGCTGTGCTTTGCGTGACTGGTCTTGTGACCCCTTGTTCTCCCCCACTTTGCCTATGGGGGTGTGTCAGAACATATATATAGCTTATGCTGTTGTGTAGGCTATAGTGGGGTATCCCATAGGGGGTACAACCCAATTAGGGTTTCCTATATGTACTCACTTTATTCATAGTTCATTCATTCTTGTTCAAATCTTCTCAGAGGGTCGACCTGCTCTGATTCCATGTTGGAAAACAGTTGCAAGTTAGAAATGAGAAAGAGGGGTTTTACTAGCAAGCAGTTGAGTACATATAGGAAACCCTAGATTGGGCTGTACTCACTATTGAGTACCCCACTGCAGGCTAGACAAATACAACATATTCTGACACCGTAATCACCCGGACATACCACCCGCCGAAATTGTGGACCCTCCGGGTGGCTTGTGCGGGGTGGGTGTTATAGTTGACCCCGTTTGAATTATACCCCCCCTTTTGGGGTGATTCTTTATAAGACCCGGGGGGAGGGTGTTATGTCAGGCAAAAGTTCTCATTAGAGGTAGATTTCATAGATCTAGGGGTGCAGTCTACTACCTACTAAGATTACCGCCATCAAGAACCAAGAGTTTCACATAAACATCAAGATCATCTACTGCCCAGAGATCATGAATTGCAATACGGTGCTATCTACTCATCATCGTCCCCTGCATGCCATTCTTCAACCTCTTCTCCGTCAAAGCGGCCTTGACGCCACCAGTCATCATCATCGCTGCACTCCCCCGCCTCCTCGCCGTCTGCAGGCCCAACCCCCTCCTCGTCTTCCGCCTCCGCCTCCGCCTCTGCCGCGTCATCCTCCTCTTCCACTTGTAGCTCCTCGGCCGGCATGGGGACTTCAGCGTAGAAGGGGTTGACGACAGTCTCGTCGTCAACCATCTCGTTGACGTCGTCCAGCACCTCCACCTCACCCTTGTCCCGCATGTGGGCAAGGATGAGGTGGTCTTCGGTGCCGTTGATGCTGGTGGAGATCCCGCATGTGACGATCGCCTTTTTCACGAGCTCTTCTGGAACAGCTTCCCAGGATTCGTCGATCCAGCGGAGAACCGTCTCCGCAGGCGGCTTTTGCAGATTGCCTGTAGTAAGGGAAGAAGTTTACATTCACGATTGAGGACTTGCAAACCGAGCCATAGTTGGGACATATGCATGCACAATAGCCAGCCTCGCGGAAATGCAAGTTGAGGCATCAACTCACCTGCACGCGTTGTCAGGTTGATGCCGTCTTCTTCGAACCACGTGCTGTAACGGTGACGCACACCGCATTTAAACGCGCGGTTGATCGATACATCCAACGGCTGCACAAGCGATGTGCACCCCCCTGGGATGACCGCCCTCGACAGCCTGAACATGCGCATCGTCTGACCAACAGCTTCGGTCAAGTGGCCGCGGTATGAGTCCAGCACCACCAAGGCCTCCCTTCGGCGTCCGGTAGTCTCTCGCAGAGGCTTCATAAACGGCACCAGCACCCGCATGATCCAGTCCTGCACAAGAGACTCATCCATCCATCCCTTCTCTTGTGCACGGACCACCACACCTGTCGAAAACAACGCGAGCGTCAGAGTCCCGGGTTTGATAGAGAAGCAGGCAATAGCACGGGTTGAGGCGTGGTTTGGTTCACTTACCGGCAGGAATGGCCACTTTCGGGACGGTCTTCCGCTTGAACACAACGTAGGGGGGAAGCTTCAGCCCTCCCGCCGTTACTGCCAGCATAACAGTAACGCGTTCCTTCTGGTAGCCCGCAGACCGCACGTGTACCGTCCGCGCTCCCTTCATTTCGGTTGTACGTTCCGCCGGCATCTCTAGGAAAAGCGGAGTCTGATCGGCGTTCGCGATCAGATCGAGTGGGTAGTCATGCAGAGTGCGCATCTGGCGCACAAACTCCCAAAACGACTCGACTTTCTCCTTGCAATCTGCACATTAGAACATGTTCGAAGACGAACCATGACCGCACTTCCAACGCGAAGACTTACCCGCTGCCAACTTCTGCCCCATCTTAGTCTTCACCCTCCTTGCCAAGTGCCACCGCGCGCGGAAACGAGCCGACCAGCGGAACGACGCGCGCCAATTGACCCCAGGCATCCGATGCTTCATATACTTCGCACTCCACTTCTGGAGCATGTTGACAGAAACGGAGAGCCCCTTTGCCCGGTGGCTCAGGAACTGGCGGTAGACCGCCCGTTCCATAAACGGGTACTTCGCCTTGCGTCCTGCCCCCATGAGGCGACGGCGGCATCCGGAAGCGACCTCCAGTCGTTCCCTCATCTTTTTCCAGTCACGAATCTGGCAGGGTTGCACCTTTGCGAGCTTGGCAAGAGCTCGATTCGACAGGTCCGGCTGAAATTCTTGCATCTTCAGCCAGTGAAGCTTCTCTTTCGCGGTGTACGAGTGACGAACGCGTTTCGTCATACGATGCCGCGGGGAAGGAGGCTCTGCATCCGCGTTGCGCTTCACTTGTCCCTGCGGGCGATTACGTTGCGGAAAAGTGGGGACAGCCACTCGGGGAAGAGGAGGCCGAGGACGGTCTGCGTTACCGCTCGGTTCATCCTCGGTAGAGCCACTGGCTGCAGGAGACGACTGAGGCATGTCGGGGCGAGGAGTCGGGCGTGCGCGTGCACCAGCGGGAGACGGAGTGTTAACAGGCCGGTGCCGTCTAACTACCGTACTGCTGGAATCTGGAGAGGTTGCCATCTAAACCTACTGCAGGTTGGTGTCACTGGCCATAGCTAAACCGCGTTTAAACTAACGAAGTAGCGACAGGGAAAGAAGTGCACTTACAGCCTGCCGAGCACAACACAGATTCGTGCAATGGAGCCGCTGCATAAACGAAAGATGAGAGTCGTTTGAGGGAGAGGGACGTGACCAAAACGGGCACGACGTGACCGAAACAATGACAACGCAGCACAGTGAAGAATTCCAGCCTCGGAGGGCCCATGCAACCTCGCCGCGCGATGCTGGCACTATTTTCACCCAATCAGGGCCAGAGGTGGCCCATTGGGACTTGCCATGTGGCAGGTTATAGTGGGGGGTTGCATTATCGTCGCATACTCGATTTCGCGCGCGCGAACACCATTTTCCCAGTCAAGTAAGAACCCTGTTTTTCTTTCCAATCAATTCTGCTTAAAAAAACATGTGCTATATATATGAACCCGGGTGTTATGTAGCTTTTGCCATTGAGAAGACCCCCCCCATTTTTTCTCTGTATTTAAAGTAAGACCCTAGGGTGTTATATCCGGGTGATTACGGTATACCTGACACGTCACACAGCAAGTCTCCCATCCATGGACTGGATTTGAAGCTCAAGACGTCACTGGCCGGAGGCACAGCCTGATAACAGCATAACAGTGTGAACAGCAGAACGTATTTGAGTCCTTCAAAAGCAATCACAAGCTGACACAACTGCCCTCAAGCCAGCACACCATAACACAAGGTACCAACACTTGGTATCCCTCTGCACAGCAAACGGTCAGATTGCTTCCAGCTGAAGCGCAGTACTCGCTCACAGCAATTACTCGAGCAGTGCTAGCACCAGCACCAGCAGCAGCAGCAGCAGCAGCACCTCCTATTCTGCTGTGCAGCAGAGGGCCCACGCCGCCCTAAACCATTACTTCTTCCCTCCGAACCACGACTTGAACATCCCAAACACTCCTCCACCTCCCTGCTTGGGCTTGGGCACTGGGGCCGGCTTAGGAGAAGGCTTGGGCACGCGGTTTGGATCGCCCTTGCCCTGCGTGGTCCCCGTCTCCTCTGAGACGGGACGTGGGGGGGGCGGTGGAGAGGGGGGCGGAGAAGGGGGAGGGGAAGGGGGAGGGGAAGGGGGAGGAGAAGGCGAGGGAGGGGATGGGGGAGAGGGCGGAGATGGAGGAGGAGAAGGAGGGGGCGGGGAAGGGGGTTGCGGAGGAGGAGAGGGGGGTTTCGGAGGAGGAGGGGAAGGAGGCTTAGGCGGAGGAGATGGAGGCCTGGGGGGTGAAGGAGGCTTGGGAGGAGAGGGGGGCTTAGGCGGGGAAGGCGGGGACGGCGGCGGAGAAGGCGGCGAAGGCGGAGGAGGAGAGGGCGGCGAGGGAGGCGGCACATACTTCTGCGCGCAAACGGCCGAGGCGAAATAACTCCATCCAGCGGCTTCCGCCGCAGCCCCGCCAAGGTTGAGCGTCATGGCCGTGTCGGCTTCCGTGGATCCGTCAGGACTCAGCCGCATCACCGTCAGCCCTTCCGGCAGCGCGAGGAACGCCACGGGCGGATTGCTGGGGTAGAACGCCAGCTCACCCCCGTCCGTTCCTGACGTCAGAAACTGAAACGGCCCCAGATCTGCGCCGGCCGACGCGCAGCCCGTAGTTTCTGCGAACGGCACGGAATCCACGGTCCCTAGGCGCACCTGATTGGCTGCGAATCCGCCGCCAGCGTAGCTAGCGGAGCTGCTAACTAGAATATTTTTATGCGCAGGGTTAACGACGAGCGATCCAGGAGTGCCGGTAGTTAAAGACGTGATGGTGAGCGGCGTGAGCGATCCGGCGAGTGGCAGGGCGTACGTGTAAACCGCGTTGACGTCGAAGCGCAACACGGCGATGAACGTACCCTGAGGCGAGCAAACCGCTTGCTTGGCGGCAAACGGAACGCTGAAGTATTTAATCGCCGCCGTCTGGAAGGCCCCCGTGGCGGGATCGATCGGAACCACAACAATGAAGTCCGCATCGTCGGCCGTCCTGTGACACGTCAGCACGGCAAAGTCCTCCGGCGAGCCGAGCGGCTTCCGGCAAAACGAGACGGACAGGCACTGGTGACCGTTTCCTACTAGAACCGTCTCGGGAACAGTGACTCGGTTCGCGTTCCCAGCAGCACCGCCGGATGCGGCGGTGATGGCGGCCTCCAGTTCCGATACGTCGAGCCCCACGGCGCCGCTTGCGGTTGCAGAGCCATCTGCGGCGATAAGCAGGTTGTCCGCGGCGCCTCCAAGAGCGACTCGGGTGATGGCGGGAAGCGAAACGTCGATGGCCGGCAGAGGGACCGGGCCGGCAGTGGCGTAGCGGACCACGTTGATGTAGCTATCGGCGGACGACGTGTACGCGAATCCGTTTCTGCCGACAGCGCAGCTGTCCAGTAGCGCCGCGGTGTTGTTATCCGGGTTTGACGACGCTCCTACCTCGCGATGCGTTAGGAGGTTCAGCTGCCAGACCTGGTTGGTCGTTGCGCCCGAAACAGGCTCGTACGCGCCTCCTGCAACTAGACCAACGGGAATCCCGAGAGTCGAATAAGCGGGGGTTTGAGCGAAGACCACGAGTAGTAGGGACGGCGAAGACAGCAAGAGTACGCTTGCCAGCGCGAACTTCACAAGACAAGCTGGTGAGTAGCAGCCATCCACGTGGCAACGTCTGCCACGTGGCACAGGGGCCATTGCGCAGACAAGATCCCTTAGGGCTCTACCTGAAGTAAAGGGCGAGAAGGTTGTTGGCCCATCGAAGTGACTAAGTACTTGGGTATGGGGCGGTGTTATTGGTAAGAACGAGTGAATGTACGGTTGGAGGGGAAGACCTGGGCGGATGGGGATTAGTTGGCGTTGGCGGACATGGGGATTTGTTCTGGGTAGTGCTGGCAGGAAAGCTGGGAAAGCTTGTGCAAGAATCCCACAACCGCCAATTTCTGCTGAGTTGGAGACGGGAGAAGGGAGGGAGATCCCGGGCCAACACCACGCTGTACATTCTATTCACACCTCTCTGTTCTTCATTCCTAATGTTTTTGGCGCTCTACACAATTTTTATTTTGTTTTCCAGTTGGCTTTGGGGGTGTCATGTTTACGACCGCGTCGCAGGTGTTGTGATGTCGGTTCACACAAGAAGTGCGAGAGCTGCATCTTCCAAGTGCACCTGGCGTCATAAGAGTGGTCGAGCGAGCAAGAATCCCAAGAGATCAGGGCTCACTGCCAGCTGTGCCGAGCGACAGTAGTGTACAGCATCTTGTGTACACCCGATGTTCTGACCAGGAAGTGTGGGAGCACAGTGAAGCTGCTAAAAGCGAATAATATTCTAGGATATACTGGTTGAAGTGTATCGCAATGAGGGAACTCCCGTAATCGAGGCGTACCATGGTGAATCAGCTGCTTGTTTCCAGCGGATAATGCGCTGCGTTTCGTATTGTGAACACACGCAGCAAATCCTCGACGGTGTAAAGCTTCACGATCTCACGATTCGCGAGGTGCGCGGCGCTTCATCCGCGCGATGCCATTTCACGGTCACAGAAATCAGGGCCAGTCAACATAGCGGCCCGACTGATGTGAAGAATTCCGAGCCTCATTGGCCGGTTGTCCGCTCTGCCCAAAATCTTGTTCAGGTCACGTCAAACCCAACCACTCACCCATCTCACCTCACCTCCCCCTATGGTTCGACTTCGGCCCGAGTGTGCTTGCACTAGCCTCGAAGACCAGTTCCTCCGCACATTGGTGTCGCCCTCAGATATGGAGGGTAAAGTAAAGATGGATGTGACCGATGTGATGCGAGCGCAACCAACCGTCGTATAACTGTATTGCGGCATTAACACCACCACCCCCCCCCCCCCCCCCTTCTCCTCCCCTTTTCCCCAACCTAAGTAGCGCATGTTGAACCCAGGTATTTTCACCAGGGACCTGAATACACCTACAAACAAAGCTACTGTTGCTAGTGAGTGACCCATTTCGGGTGCACCTGGAATGTTCACCAAAATGACTGATTTGCACAGTTGACACAGCCGAGTCGAGTCGGTTTACTAGCTCGAACTGTTCCACCCAGTGAAAAATCCACGTGGCTTTGTTGAACACATGACATTTGATAGAGCGCCGTACGTCAAAGGTCATTGGCGTGGTGGCTCCCGATGGTGCAGTACGTACGTTTCAGTTCGCAGTTGCTGATGGATGGGTGACTGGAGTACCCGGCTCGACTGGGTTGATGTCATTAGGACAAGTGTCAACGCGTGGCCGAGTCGGCCAACACCCGCATTCCGGCACGCGCAACAAGACCAGGACCAACACAAGCCAGGCGCGATTTGGACCTGCTCATCATCACCTCGATCCCAACCCAATTCCTAGACTCAAATTTCAAACCCTTCAGTCAACTGGAGCATATGCTACTCGTTGTCCAAACCTGGCATTTCCAAGGAACGTCTATGCCAACACCTTCCGCACAATCGCAATCCCGTCGCGGGTTCGCCCTGTCGCTGCCTCTCGTGTTCGTCTCATTCATTGGCTGTCACGTCCGGAAATCTGCCATCGCATTTTCTTTCCTCGAGTTTGGCTGCCGTTATTAGGCAGGGCTTACTCACCCAGCTTCTCTACCACGGACCTCACCCCAGCCCTTGAACAGGAGCTTCTAATCACATAGTAGCTCGACAGTGGCTGGTCATCAGTAGACCAGATAACATAACGTGGCACGTCACTGTCTTCAAGCAATAGCATCGCAATCCATTGCCGTTAAAGCTAGAGCAGGGGGGGCAGGAGCAGTGGCAAGAGGGGCAAGCGTAGGAGGGGGCAGAATCGGGGGAAACAGGGGGAGTCCTTGATCTGAACGGCTCCCACGCGTAACGCCATGTGTGCAGAAACACCGTGGCAGCGCCAATGAGCCTCTCATCGACCATGGCCATCCTGTCTACGGCGAAAGGAGGATCCAAGGCGACACAAATTCGGGGCATTACTCGACCTGGCGGTCCTTCGCAGTAGCTGCAACTGCAGCCATGGCTACGCCCCCACGTGATCCCACTCACAGCGCGTCAAGCTCCGCCGCTGACGGCGCGTCTCACCGCTGGACTTTCTCCCGCCCGCTTGTTGAAGATATTGCGCGGACCGCCAAGCTTCTCCCGGACATGGTTCGCCAGCAGCCCGCTGGCGAGCCTGTTAATGTCTATAACGAGCCTTGTTCGTCGCAGCAGAAAGAGATGAGGTCGATCTATGGAATTTCACATCTGGCGCCTGCGAAATCATCGATGGAGCCGGCGATGGGATCCACGTGTTCGCTCGACTCGCCGCTCCTTTACATCCCCTCCTCCCAATCGCTCTCACCTAACGCTTCGCAATCTTCGTCGCACGCGTCGTCGCAATCGTCGCCGCATGCATCGCCGACGTCGTCACCATGCATCACACCAAACGCGTCTGCGAACGACTTCTCGGCGCTCGATTCCCCAGTCCAGTCCCGTCATCACGATTCCACCCATCACTCCGACCTACCAGCAACCCCCTTCACTCTCGCATCGCAACGACCCGACGCGCCTCTCCCTTCCCCTCTGCCCTCTTGTGCGACGTCATGGCCTCCGTCTGCGACAACCGCGTGCAACCAAACCGGAGCTTCGAGCTGCTTTAATCACGCGCCCCCCTACTCCCCCGCTCCCTTGGGATGCGCGCACTCCTCTGCCCTTACCGCACGCTCCCGATCCCCCGCTTTCACCGCCCCGGGCCCCGCATCCGCGCCGTGTTCCCCCCTGAAGTCGTGGCGGGAGAAGCGACATCACGCGGGGAAAGGGGCGCGGGGTGGCTCCGCTTTGTTGGCGGTGGCGCGGTGGGTGGTGGCGTCGGCAGCGAGTGGATACGTGGGCGAGAACGTATCACTCAGTGACGTGGAGGTGGTTGCGGGGGCGCTGAAAGCGGGAGGTGCGGGGAAGGCGATGGCGCTGGCAGCTAGCGTGGTGAGGAGGAGCATTAGGAGGAGCTTTCTGGTGGGAGTGGTGGCACTGCTGCTGTGCAGCGTGCTATTAAATGTCACGACCACGACCACGACGACGACAGGGGCGTTGCAGGAGCAGTGGCAACAGCGCCCCTTCACGCTCGGATCCATCCGCTTCCTTCATTCCTCCCCCCGCCTCTCTGCAACGACCGCGACTCTTGCGACACACCCTGGGACTGACTCTGCAACGGGCGCTGTGACGGCCCTCGCTGTGCTCCCTAGTATCAAGGAGAACAACGTACTTGTGACTGTATCGGGTGACCCCGAAATAGTGGAGCCCGGGACGGCAGGGCAGGCCGAAGCGGTGGGGCGAGCGGAGGAGGCACATGACAGCAAAGCTGAATGGGAGGATAAGGGAGTAGGCGCATCAGGAGGAGAGAGAGGAGGGGAAGGAGGAGGAGGAGGGGAGTTGCAAGGGGCCCCAGGAGGTGAGGGGGGAGGTGTAGCGCAGGGTGCCGCAACGGCGGTTGTGGCGGCTGTGGTGGTGCTGGCGAGGGGAGACGCGGCGGAGGAATCGGGCAGCGACGACGCGGTGGTGCGCGCGGGGCGCAGCGATACGGGGTGGCAGTGGATGGAGACGGTGCGCGGGAGCGCGGGCATGGCGGCACAGCCGGCGCAGCTGAAGCAGTGCATAGAGCGGTCTAAGACGCATAAAGGTAGCGTCGCGCGCACGCTTGCAACTCTGCGAGCGAGAGAGGAGTGCGCGAGAGAGGGAGAGATACAGTGAGGCAAGGAGCGAGTGCGGGGTTGCTGGTGGCATGGCTGGAAGGTACTGAGCTCACCGAACCGTGCTTCCGTTCCTATCGTTCCCGAACACCCCTTCATCTCGTTTTCCTCGCCCCGTTTCCTTGTGTGGCAGTCCCGGCGTTGCGCACCAACGGCTACCTGGTCGTAACGGCCAACGGCGGACTCAACCAGATGCGCGCAGCGGTAAGCCGCGCCCTGTTTCTTCTCACCCGCGCACCGCACGCGCACAACACGCCATCGTAGACTTGTGCCCTGTCCTGTTCTAAGCGTGCGACATCTTGTTGCTTCCCTTGTCCTCGTGGAACCTCTCATGTGCGGGTTTTTCTTGTGTGCACTCCTCGTTTCCATCACATTCCGAGTCATCTAGCTAGTACCACCCGCGTGAGCCATGCGTGTTTGAACCCACCTGTCCCTCCCCTTCCTCTAACCCCTCTCCTCCACTGCTCCCATGCACCTCTCGTATCTCGTTCCTCCTCTCTCCTCGTCTCGTCTCTTCTCCCGTCCCCTCATCATGCATGCTCCTGCAGATCTGCGACATGGTGGCCGTGGCTCGCCTCATGAATGCCACGCTGCTGCTGCCTCGCCTCGACCACTCCTCCTTCTGGGCCGACCCCAGGTGCGCCCTGCCATGCCTCGTGCCCCATGCCTTTGGCCCATGCCCTATGGCCATGTCCCATGCCCTATGACCATGTCCCATACCATTCCTTTCGCCTGCACATGACCCAGACTGGGCAAACACCTCTTTTCTGATCGGCCCAAGTTATCTGCGAAATACCAACAACTCTGTCCTCATGCCCCACTCCCTCTACCCCACACCATCCAGCGAGTTTTCGGACATCTTCGATATAGAGCAGTTCATTAAGGTGCTGCAGCCTGATATCCGCATTGTGCGGTCGCTGCCTGTCCACCTGCAGTCCGTGCAGGCGCCAGAGATTCAACCCATATCCTGGTCTAACGTGAGTTCACC